GGTCCGTAATAAAGTCTATRCTAATTTCTTRCTATRCTCGATCCGGTATAGGTAATAGAACTATTACTCCGTAGGGGCGGTAGTACCGCGCCTTACTTACGAGGTATATATAGTACCCCTTAATATACTCTACGACATTAGTAGCTATACGTAGCTAGTAGTACTTCCGCTAAAGTAACTCGAGCGTCTTCGCCTTCCTAAAGTATCCGGCGAGAGCGTTATCGTAGTATATACGTATTAGTTACGCACGTAAAGCGTAGTCTTTCGGAATATATAGGGTATCGCTATAGAATAATATTCTATCTTTAATAATATAGCCTTCGTACTCGCCCTTCTCCCTAGCCGCGTCGCGTATACTCGAAGTATCCGCGTCTACGTTTACTAGTACTTTAGCGTAACCGAGTATTAGGTCTAGAATATTTCTAAGGGCTAAGTCTATAGCTACTAGGACGGCTATAATACGCTTAGGTAGCGAAAGCTCGCCGTATACTCTAGTAGGTAGTAATCCCTCGYACTTAATCGCGTAGTATATAGCTCTTACTCTTCTAATAGAGGGCTCTAGCTTACTTCGAAGAGCTTTATTAGATTACTAGTTCTAAAGTTTGCTTTATAGTATAGGTAATAGTATACTTATATACTAAGACGACTCCGTCGTACTCGTTTCGTAGTCGCTACGCCTACTCGGACTATCCGTAGGGTTCTTTATCCYTACGCGATATTCGATAGTAAAGTCGAAGGGCGCTAATTAAACCGCCTATYRTRCCTATCGACCGACTAACTRTTTTATCGTTATAAAAGCTTTAAGGTTAGTATAGTCGACGATTACTTAAATCGTATGCGTAGCGCTATCGAGGTACGGGCGCTACTACTTAAACGTACTTACTACTACAAGTAGCTCTTTATCGTAGGTCTCGTAATTGTATTCGGCCGGAATTATCTTCTATAACTAAAAAGCAATAGGATACTACTATTTRTCCTTAAACTGCTATAAGAGGATGCCCGTAAGCGCGAAGTCCGATRCGTCGGTTTCGACTCGTAGGCGAAGCGTAGGGTTATAGTGCCTTAGTAGTAGGGCTAACTRAAAGGCTTCCTTAAGCTAGCTTAGCGCATTCTCTTCGCTAGCGCCCTAAGGGATCTTCCCTAGCTTCCTGCCTTTAATAGCTCCCTTCGATAGGTCGGTTAAGGGCCTTATAATGCGTAAGTACTACTAAAT